CTAAGTCCTTACAGCTGGAGCCAAAGTGGTTCAGGAGACTCCTGCAATCCCTTGATAAAATACTGCTACAAGGCATCAATGGGTTAAAACCGAAAAGTGGGAAGATGGGACACAACTTGGAAAGTATCTCTTTGATGTCTCTATGGGGTTACAGTAGCCTTAGCCACCTAAATCAAAGGCTTGGCCATTTCAAATATATGAGTAATTAGGCCTACAGAAACCTAAAATCTAGAAAGCAAGCTGGGTCAGTAAAAATATTATTTGTCGGCACTGTGGCCCTAAATAACTTCATTCCCCTTTTCAGGATAGCACTGGACTAGCTGAGAAGTTATAGGTTCGTTCTCATTTTGGATCCAGCCTCAGATTCCCCCTCAGCAGAAGGGATGCAGCCAAGTTCATGTCTGCCCTCTACTAATATGCAGAGTAAGTTAACTCCAACGTGGTGATTACACAATCGAATGATGTTATGGACTGAATGTCCCAAAATTTATGTTGAAGCCCCGACTCTCAGAATGGCTATATTTGGAGTAAGGAATTAAGGCTACATGAAGTCATATGGGTAGAACCTTGATCCTATAGGATTAGTGTCCTGAAACCCCAGAGAGCAAATGTTCTCTCTCTCTCCATGCACTGATAAAAGGCTATGTGAGTACATAGCAAGATGTTGGTCATCTACAAACCAGGAAGAAAGCCCTCACCAGAAACTGAACCAACCTTAATCATGTACTTTTAGCTTCCAAACTGTGAGAAAATAAATTTCTGTTGTTTAAGCTACCTAAATGTACACTATTTTCTTATGGCAACCAAAGCTAAGACAGATGGCTATCTGGGAAGTCCATCTGTACACATGCATCTTCCTGTCCTTTGCTATCCTACCAAGGCCAAGCTGCTTGAAACTACTTTTAGAGAGCTGAGCATGGCAGGCTAAAAATAGGAATATAGCCCATATCATAGGTGTTTGGGCTCCTCTGCTATAACCAGCCACTGGGAGCAGGCAGGCTGAGGAAAAGATGACACAAGGTGAGGGGGTGGTTGCAGACACTAAGAATCAGGGAGAGGAAAGAGTGGTGACCAAAAGGCTGAGTCCTGGAGCCAGGGGACCAAGCTTGATCACCTACTCTACACTTCAATCACATTTCTGAGTTTTTGATAGTCTATTTCCTCATCTGTAAAATGGACAGTACCTCCCTCAGAGGATCTTCAACTTTGAATGAGACATTGTAGATTAAAGTGTTTACCTCATGTTTGACCAGGAGGAAGTGCTCTAAATGTGAGCTATCACCATGATTAACCAATGGAACCATTGTGGAAGTGTTTCCAGCACTTCCCAACAATGACTTGTAGTTACCCTGTCAGGGATGTGTATTATATAAGACCATACAGAGGTCTGCTACTCCCCAGTAGGTATGACCAGAGTTGGGGGGCAGAGTTACTTGGACCCCATGCATTTTCTTGGCTTGAGTGACTTCTCCACAGTATCCCTCAGCCCACTTAGTAACTCTAATTGGGATTCTCACAGGAAGCCTCAAACTCAGCAAGTCTAAACCTCATCATTTTTCTAATTGGATACTTTTAGTCTTCTCAATTTCAGTAAGTTGCACCAGCATGTGGCTGTCCAAAGTTTGGAAAAAAAAAAAAAAAAAAGAGCATGTGGTCATTTTTAAACCCAAACTCTTCGTCCTCCCATATGCAATATATCATCTCCTGGATTCCACTCTACTCCATCAAATCATCTCCACCACCACCACTCTATCTCAAATCCCTACATCCACTTTGCCTCTCTCCAATCAAAACACACATTTGATGTTAGCACTTGCCTCCAGCCCCAGCTTATGCTCTAAATGGCTTCTCCTCACTCTCATGACTAAAAGGAAAGCTCTAACCTTGACCCTCAAAGCCCAGCATCATCTGAGCCCACTCACCTCATATATTACATTGCTCTTTCACTCCAGGCTCTATTAACAATGGCTTTTTAATCCCAAAAATCCCTTTACCTAAGCAGTTTTCTCCTTCCTCTGATTAATACCTTTTTATCCTTTAGATCTCAACTTCAATCTTTCTTTCTCAAAAAAGGACTTTGCTTGAGCCCCAAGATAAGATCAACTGTGTTCTCTAATAGTCCCAAATCATACCCTTAAACATGCCTATTAAATTATTGCATTAGTAGCCTAATGTCTCTTTTTCATACTACCATTTAAGTTTTATGGGGTTAGGGATATCTTTTCATTTCTTGCTCAATGTCTGGCATAGTTTCCTTAATGTCTGGCATAGTTTAAAACACAAGAGGCATAAAACAGTATTTGTTGATTTAAATACAATGGAAAAACAAAACTAGAAGTTAAGGTAAATTTACCTGTTTATTCTTTATCTGAAGATGTCTCCTTTGATTTTCCACCTTAAACTAAACTTGTAACATATGAAATATTGAGTTGGACTCTACCTTATTGACTGGCCAGTTTGCTAGGGCTGGTGATCCACAAAGTTGTTAGCAACTCACCCTTCCTGTCTCCATCTCTATAGTGCCTCAGTTATCGCTGTTATCACCCACAGAGGCTAAAGAACATGCAATTTAAGTCTGTACTTTTAGCTATTTCTGCTTGAAGTATTTCTTTTCCTGTAGGAAAGCACAAATCTTAGCAATATCATTCATATGCCTTCTCAGTGTACTTGAATAAGGTTTCATCTACTTTCTCTACTGATTTCCTCACCGTTTCCTGAACTGATTAAAGATTAGCTTCTCAATGAGACATCCCCTAACTACATATAAAATTGTAATTCCTCTCCACTTCCCACACTGATGTCTCCTCTTGCTTTTTCTCCTTAGAACTTACTCTGTATTTTGTTGGTTGATTCCATCAACTAAAGATCCACGAAGGAAATAATTATTTTAATCCTCAGCATGACTTTCAACAGCTCTCAATTATTAGTTGAACAAATGAGCAATATAACACTGCTTAGGGTTAGACAAAAATAGCTTCAGAAACACAGGAGCAGAGCATGTATTTTAGTTTCCCTCATTCTCTGCTCCTGCTTCTCCACTACTGATAGGATTAACACCTAAACTGGTAGGAATCTAAACCTCATGTTTCAGTTTCACTTTCCCTGAGGGAAGGTAACTATGACACCAGATCTACTGAGGATCACAAAGCTCAATTTGGTAAGCACTGAATAGTTCGTTGAGAGTAACTGAGTAAGTAGGTAATATCAAGGTTACACCAAATAGTTATAACAAAGCCATCCCCCCCCCACACACACACACACATACACTAGGGTAGGTGGCAAGGGATTATTTTTATTTATTTGGAGACAGAGTCTCACGTTGTATTTCAGGCTGGCCTTGAAGTATGTAGCCCAGACTGGCCTGGAACTCAAAGCGATCCTCCTGCCACAGCCTTCCAAGTGCTGCGATTAGAAGTGTATGTCAACACACCCAGCAGGACTGCTTTTCCACAGCAATCTTCCAGGGGTAGCACAGCTTTGAAATCCTCATCCCTTGGCTTCCATGTCCACTTCAAAGTGACAACTCTGGTTCCTACCATAGTATCTGCATTGCAGCCATAGAGAAAGGAACAGGAGCAAGAGCACTCCTCTTCCAACGGCATGTACTATTTCTGCTTATACCTCATGGGGGTAGAATTTAGTCACATGACCAGGCCTAGCTGAAAAGGAGACTGGGGAATGTGGTATCCAGCTGAATACATATGTTCTAGAATCAAAGAAGGGCGGAAGCGAGATCTGGAAACTTCAAGTAATTTATTAGACAATAAAAGGATATGAACAGCATCTGAACATATGAACAGCATATCTGCAATCTTTACCATTTATGTATTATTATTCTTGCATTCATCATCTTCACATTTACTGACATCACTAAATTGGCATAAACAATTCTAAGTTAATGAAGCCACATTTCACAGTTCATATAAAGAAAAAGCAATTGGGAATGCTTACATTAAATATGTTTCTGAATTGATGCTGACAAAACTATAGACTGGGCAAAACCTGTCAAAGCCATCCAGACCCCTGCAGACTTGTTCTGTTTGAGTCTCTGTGTCTCTCTCTTTTCAGCAAAATTAATATTTTATTCTGAACTGCAAAATATAGGCCACATATTTGTCACGTCATGTGTTCTCAAAGGCATTTCCTGCAGTGGACCCAAGTGCAATCAAAGATTTATCTCTCACAAATAAGCAAAAATATTATGGGGTCCTAAACCAGGCCACTAAAATTAAATTACAAGGTTCTTAACACCTTCACCTCAATAAACTCTGCAAGGATAAAAGAATCAATCACCAACTTAAAATCCCCCTTCAACATTAAGATGGAGATGCTTAACCAAACTGCCAAAAGCTATTTTAGCTTCACTGCCCTAATGTTTAAAATAAACAAAACAAAAAAGTTAAAAAAATACATTTTTGCAAAAAGTTTAGTAAAGATAGGATTACAAATTCAACAATAAAAGTCATAGTAATATTTTAATTGTTCAATGGGGAGGAAGTGGGAGACACCTTTTGAAAAATACATCCTTTCAGTTCTATATATTATACAGAGCTCTAAATAAGAACTTTCTGATAAGCATTGCCCAGTCTGCTGACAGCTTTCTTATAAATGTTTAGAAAATATGAACTACATGAAAACTGGTGTAATAGAAAGTATCACCCATTGAGTCTCACCCCTTCATTATCTTTAACTGTTTAGGCTACATCAATTAGAAAACTAATTATTTTAAATTTAAAAGAAGCCAACAACTCAGAGCTCACTGAAATTTTTTTACAACAGCTAGTGAAATACTTTATTTGATGCCTTTCAAATGACACAAGAAATAACTTATCTACAAAAACTTCCTTTTGAGGAAGGCTTTAAAGAACAGAATAAGAACTTTTTATGTTTACTATTTTGGGTTAAAATGTTTGGGCTTTTCTATTTTTGTTGTATATGTAATATAAAGGGCAGTGGAAGTATGCACCATAGCAGGCTTTTAATAAAAAGCTAGCCTGTGATTTTTTTTTTTTTTTCAAAAAAATGGAGGGGAAGGACAAGAAAAAAAAGCACATCTAATTCACAAAGAGGATAATCAAGGGTTGATCTACCAAGATCAAGAAGCATCAGAAATGATTACTCTGAATCATACAAGTAACAGAAATGTGAAAAGATAATGATAATTGAAAGTATGAGCTATTTTGTACTAGGCATTTCTAAGAACTGTACTTGTATCACTTCATTTAATGTTCTATGAAGTAGGATGAGTTAATTGAGGCACAGACTGGTTAAGCTACCTGTGTAAGAGCGCAGAGCTACAGAGACCAGCACTCAAAACGCAGACAGGCTGATGCCAGAGTCAGAGGTCCTAAATGCAATCTGCCTGTCATGCCTCCCAATTATCCTGTCAAGCCCCCTCATTTAGACAAAAAGAAAAAATCTAGAAAAGGAAAAGTAGCGGCTAAACTCAGAAAAATTGAAGACTATAGGCCCAAATCCCCCTTTAAAATAAAAGAGAAAAACTCACTAACTCCCTTATAAACAATGGAAAGAAAGAGCGATCATTCTGAGCAAACCTGATTATTCTGAGCTGGATGGGAAGGTATGGTATAGTCATATTTTCTACCACTAGCACACAAAAATATAATTCAGTTGGTTGCATCAACCGATAATTTCATGCCTCTTTTGTAACTCCTCTTAATAGAACATAAATCAGAGCAAAGTATCACAAATAAATATGACACAATAAGCAGATTTTGAGGTTTATTAAAATAAAGTTTAGCAAACAATATGCAAAAACAAATTTCTTAAGAGTTATGGCTTTGAAAAGCACAATATAGTAAAACCTAACACATTTTTGTAAGTATCAAAAAGATAATAGAATTGAAGCATTTTACTAGAATTTCATTTTCTACACATAAACAGAAGCAGAACAAGTACAAATAGACAAGAGTGCAGCCATTGGTTTGGTCTTTATCATCTGCATATAAAATATTTTATTAAGAGAATGGGGGTAGGTACACACATTGAGTTTCCATAATTACAATCCTATCCTAATTTAAAATAAATGAATTTTCAACCAGGTCAAAAAGAATATCATTTGCCCAACCATTATCAATAGTTCCTACAGCTAAAATACGTTATCAATAAAACAAGCAACACCATCTCCAATAGTATTAAAAGGAACAATCTGACCCTAATATATTTCTTCTTTTACAAAAAATGTGGGACTCTTTGGCCTAACAGGAGTTTTGTTATAGCTAATACCAGCTAGTATTTAAAAAGATGCTATCTTTTAATGGGAAAAGAATCTACCTGTACACAAAATTTTTAACTTTTTAAATACAGCAATTTTAAACAAATCCTTAAACGATAATGGTTTGCAGTAATTTTAAGAATTTTAAGAACTGAGTTATTTGGACAAGAATAACATAACTCTTTCTCATTGTGCCACGAATGATCAAAGAATCCTGCTCTAGAACTAGATCTTTACAATGAAATAATTCATCACTTATTTTACAGGAACTGCTATCAGCAACCTTACAGCATGTATTCATACTTTAAAAACCACCCCAACCCACTGGTTGTGGTAAATTATTAAATTTTAGAGTGTCACTCCAATTATAATACAGTTATATTTGGGGAAATAAGGAAGGTCTCCCCCCAGTCCACCACCATATCAACAGGGATAGAACTGAGGGCTGCAAGCACCTAGGTAAATGCTGTACCTGAACAGCCCCAGCCAGGGAGATGTTTCTTTTATGAGTAATCTAGTATAAAAAAGGCTTGATAAATACTGTTACCTCCTGTTATCAGAACACAGTAAACTGTAATCCAGTGGATTTCAAAGGACTTTGCAAGTTTCTGTCCAGCAATTAAAATTCTTTGTTTCTATAGAAAATATGCCTTGAATTTTCACTTTCCATACTTTGTGATAAGAAAAATCTCCAAGAATATTACCTGTATCCATGAAGAAAATACTGCTGCTCTGGGGAAAACAGGCAAACTGGAGATGATCCTCCAAAAAGCTGCCTAGTTAATATCTGAGGAAACCTAAAAGCCACCACTTAGGAAAATGCCTTCCCATGAAATTCACCAAACACTTCAAAAACCATCAGACTTGTACTATCTCAAAAGATTCTTGTTTATTTAGCTGATGGTTATGAGGACACACGTTTATATTCAGAGATCAAGAAAAGATGTTAATAGTAAGACAAAGGCAGGTGGGCTCTGATGTCTTCAAAGTAAATAGGTCCAAAATGTGAGACATCACTGGAGGTTGAGTTCAACAATTATCAAGAGTCTTCCTTCCTCAGGAAGTACAAAGGATATTAATATATTTTAAGTGAGAAAGGTGATAATGATCCAAAGTACTATTAAGCAAATGACTAGAAAAAGTATAAAGAACTCCAGTGAGGGTGCAGACCTATAATCACAGCTATTTGAGAACATGAGGCAGAAGGATCACAAGTTCAATGTCCAGTACAGGCGAAAAAAAAAAGAATCAGTTGGATGAGGAGGATTCCAAGTTCAAGCCTAGTCTGGGTTCAATTCTTAGTACCACAAAATGAAGGAAGGAAAGGAGAGAGGGAGGGAGGGAGGGATTCAAATTAGTATACCAAATGTTCTCTATAACAGAAGAGTTTGTCTGCTACGGGTAGGATTTTTAATTATTATATAAACTTTCTCCTGCAAAAGGACACTATATGAGGAAGGAACTGTTTCACATAGGGAGCCCTTGAGATGCAGTTTTAGAAGGTGAGCCCCCAATCTTATTTTGACAATAGATTTCAAGTTTGAAGATTTACCGATCATTTTATATCTCAAAAGGATGTCTTACTCTCAAATATGAAAAATACAAAATAGCACATCCTCTATCTGTACTTTAGATGTGGCTTACTGAACTATCTAGTAACTGTATTTACTGAATTTCACCTCAGCAATCCAGCCAGTTCTATTACCAGTTTTCTTAAATAGCAACCATGATGTAAAAATTACTTATACTTTGATGCATATTTGATATTCTTGATGTCTTCCTTACATTTTCTCTAAGTATGAATTTCAGTATACCAATAACACGCCTACAAATTTACATTTCATCATTTAGCCAGGAAATACCAACCAGATCATAATATACTAAGAAATGCCAGTCAAATACACCTCTTTTATCCTTTTTCCAGTCAACATCTACTTGTTGCTTTCACCACTGAGATTTTTTATTCTATTCTACTTTATGCATACACCAAACTGCATATAACTTTATTATTCTTTTTAGCTGATATATATATATTTTTTAAATGCTACAGAGTGTGATTATTCTAATGGTGCTGATGTTTGCATAAATTTGACTAAAAACTACTATTTAGATTTTTTTAAAAATCTTGCTGGGTGTGGTGGTGCACACCAGTAATCCCAGCCCTTGGAAGGCTGAGGCAGGAAGATCACCAGCCTGGGTTTGAGGCCAGCCTGGGCCACACAGTGGGTTCAAGGCCAACCTGAATTACACAGTGAGACCATGTCTCAAAAAAACAAACAAAAAAAACCTTAACCCTATATTCTGAAATGGCTTCTTTTTAAGAGATCCTTTTTGGCCAAAATTTTACTTTTTTGTTTTTAATATTACTAGCAATTTTCATTTCCTATTCATAGATACATGTGCAGCCTTGGGGACTTTAAGTCACTAAGTTGCCCAGGCTAGGCTAGCACTTATGATCCTCCTGCTTTAGCCTCCAGGAGTGCTTGGATTACACGCATGTATCACCACACCTGGTTCTCAGGAAAACTCTTTAATAGTTAATATTTTCAGTACTATTAATCATGAGAAAAAACTCCTTAGAAAAAATACAGAAAAGGACAAATAAAATCCTGCTAATCCTAAAGGCTGTTACATGATGACTGCAAGTAGCAATTTTTAGCTTACAAGCTGAAAACATCAAACAGTAGTTTCTACTAGTTTACTAGAATCCACTAAAGGTGATTACATGTATGTCATTCAACGTGTTTTTTTTATATAAGATTGTTCCAAAGACTGCCATGAGCCTGCTAAATAAAAGAATGATAAAAATTCTTAAGTTCTATCAATAAGAAAGTAATTCTCTGTCATGTGACTGATCCAGCTTTGGAAGTGTAAGAATACTTGCTATGTAACATATATGTTTAAGGCTCAGGTGACTGAAAGAATTCATTTTACCCAGCAAACAACTGTGGGCTGAAACACACATGGCATTTCATCTGAAGGAACAAAAACCATCCAATGGCTGCACTTTGAAAAAGCAATAAATAATGACACAGAAAAAAAAAAAGATCAAAAAATCCTTTCCTTAACAAATGCGCTTTTTTTTTCATAAAAGCAGGAAGGGTAAAGTCAAAAGTCAAACCAAAGTATTTTTAACAGAAGAATGACATGGCTCTATATGCTTTCAAAAGGCATCAGAAAATAAAGCTCATTTTGATAGGAAAATTAGGTCATTAACTTTTCAAAATAATTTCTTCATTCTCATGCCACAACTAAGATCCATCTGACTGCACCCTAGAAAAAGTGGTTAAGAGTCCTATGATCAATGCCAAAGGCATGACTGATTAAATGGATATTTAGGGTTTTTGTCTTTCCTCTTAGAGGATTATGTTCTGTGAGACTAGCATCAACGTGGGTACTTGAAAAAGAGCACTGATGGTGAAATAAGTCTGCATTTTTTTTGAAATGTGAATATTTTAAAACCAGCTATCCCAACATCTACTGCTGACTCATTTCATATCAGACCAGTAGCCTCATCCTTGACATCTCCTATGGCTATGGAAGTAGTGCACACATCGCTTCTCGGCCTTTTGGCTAAGATCAAGTAGAAGTAGTGCACAGGTCATTGCATGGGGAGACTGATACAAGTAAAAGTAAAATCATTAAGTACATGATTTGCCCAACATTAATAACACCCATAGAACTGTAGAGAATTTAAGACACCTTAGTTAGACTACAGATTAACTGTGTTATAACCTAGGTTGAAAATTTTAAAATGCATAGCTTTCTACAACTGTAATCTATAAATTGCAGTGTTTGTTAATACAAAAGGGGTACAAGAAGTAAAGATAAGCATCTAAATCCAAGTCACTTGAGTGTGCTTTAGCAAAGGTTATACTAAAAACTGTCACTCATAAAAGTGCAAAATAAAAGGTTAATGCATGTCAAAATTAGAGTTCTTGCAACACTGGTCAAAAGCGGCAGACAGCTGAACAAGGCCGTGCATACACTGTCACTAGCGATAAAGTAGGACTGTACTTACAACAGATTCTGAATAAATGACATATAAGAGAGATCAATTACTTGTATAATTTTTTTAAAAAGGAAGTGTTTTACAAAAGATACATAGCATGAAATCACATTACACTGACAGACATTTAGCTATATTAAATGTAAATTTTATGATGGCAGCTAGAAAACTATCACTTTGCTTTTACTGAACACTACTTGTTATAGCAGTGCATAGTGTTCCTTCAAAAAAAGATTTTTTAATAGTGTAAGCCCCTACCTTATGCTTTTGAAAAACAATGTATTATGCTTTTTTAAAGTTAGTGGGACAAAGAATTTGTTAGAAGTACAGCTTCTGAAAGATCAAGAAAGGAACTTATTTTTCACTATATATGCCGTCTTAACACTACAATTTTTCATCATGTGATGTATTATTTTTTTAGAAATTAACAAATTTTTAAAAAGTATTGGGATAATAAACAAAAGCATGTTCTAGTTTAAGATCAATCTATGGGGGCATAATACTCTGCATCTTTCACAAGACTTTTGAAAGTTAATCACATGAACATGAATACAAACCAATGTAGATTCATCACAAAATACAAATGTGTTGGTCACAATTATGTAGAAAAAAATAAGCTGTAATATCTGTTTTTCCATGTCAGCTCACAGTATCTGTACTGGAAGTCTCTCTAAAATTAAAACAAGTCCACTAATATAATTAAAAAGAACACTTCTGCATTATGAAACAGAAGATATGGGGTTCAGAGGCGAGCCCATCTGAGTAAGGACTTTGTCCAGCCATTGCAGAGGCCCATGAAGATGAATCTCAATCCAACACGGGGTGCTGGTAACATCCTGCCGGTGATACTCTGCTCCCCAGCCCTATGAAAATAAAGAGGTATCACAGCAAATCCCTCTTCAAACCATCAACCAACCACTCTCAACCAATTTTAACAATAAAAAGATAGTTTAACATTAAACACTTTTCTTAATGTACTTACACAGAATATCACAAAACCAATCTTAGCACTCATCATAAATTTAAAAGCAAGACAACAGCTATATTATTAAAAAATACATGAATTTTTTAATAACACAATTCTTCTTTAAAAATCCATGGGGCCAAACAAGTTTCAATTTTTTTTAATTTTAAGGAAGTCATACAGTACAGTATTTCACAATTAATATTTCTGCTATGAGATACATTCTCACTAGGATAAATAAAACACACAAAAAGCCTCATGTTGCTTCATGTCAGATTTTGTTACCAAAAGCTTTGGTTTTGAGGGGGTTTTTTTATTAAATGAGACACTGCAGATATTGATCAATGTGTGCATGAGTAATTTAATGCAATCATATAGCCTTTATCCTTAAAGGTGGGAAAGTAGTGAGGTGAAATGAGCTGAAAACTAGTTTAAAGTTCTATATAAAAACTGAAATAGGGCCGGGGATTTAGCTCAGTGGTTCCAGCGCCTGCCTCACAAGCGCAAGGATCCGAGTTCGATCTCTGGTACCAAAAAAAAAAAAAAAACCTGAAACAGAAAATTTTTACTTTTATTGCCCTGAATTTACAAGTTCTCTGTCCTAGCCCAAGAAAACAAGGAGAACAAGAAGGGGTAAAGACTGGGGAAGATAAGAGAATGAAGATTAAAATAAGTATTTCTGAAGAGGGAGGAGGAAATTTCTTTAGAGCAATTAATAAACATACATAACAACAGACCTCCAACAAAGCAGCAAGGAAATACTAGGTCTTACTGCCAAAAAGAAAAAGAACCACAAGCATTTGATAGTTTTTCTTCCTAGACTAAATCCTAAATCCTTAAAGACTATGTGGTTATAGTTTAGAAGATGGATGGATGGATGGATACAGATATCATTAAAATTCTTTCCAAATTTTGTTCATGAACCATAATCTTTGGAATGTTCAATAAAATTAGGCCAAGAGCATAAACTTGAATTTTGCAAGATGCTTAAAACAAAGCTTAGATATAAGTAAAATAGTTTTAGGAGTCCAATTCTGTTAAGTCATTCCAATACAATCTTACAATCTAAACTGTGAAAGCTAAGGGACTCAAAAAGCAATTTTAGTATTGCTTTCTAGCAATTTAATCTTTTTTTTTTTTGGTACCGGGGATCGAACTCAACTCGGGTCCTTGCACTTTCGAGGCAGGCAGCGGAATCACTGAGCTAAATCCCCAGCCCCAATTTAATCTTTTAACTAGAGTTCTTTGTTAGCTCAACCCCTACTCAGAATCAAAATCAAAATCAATCATGCATTTTATAATGTTTGGATTACAAAATGAAATCTTAGACCTATCACGGTTAAAATTAAAACCTAGTAAATCAGGTTAAAAGCATTGATAATGTAAATGTATTGTATACCTAAACCGTACTAATAAAAGAATTTAAGCAAAAAAAAAAGTATTGATCATGTTTGAATTTAACAAAATTTTTTATTATAACCCGCAGACATGCATTCTTCCACTGACTCAAATTACATTACATATCACAACCCACTCACCTTGACAAAACTCATTCGGATGGTACACATTTTGGTGAGCTCATATACTGCCTCAAACCCATGGTTGACAGACTGAGCTAGAAGCTGAGCAAACTCCTGATTGTTAAAAATTTTGAGGCTGCAGCTGCTGGGAATCTTACAGACGGTGGTGGGATGAAAGCCATGATGAAAATTGCAGTTCCTACTCTGTACAAATATGCTGCTGTCACTGAGACACTCCGCATACACCTCCCCGCCAACATAGTACAGATGAACACCTTAAAAAGATGGGCAGCAGGACAGTCAGCTTAACAAAGAATAATGAGGCCCAAGAGCTTGTTGATCCAGCCAACATTCCCAGAAATACACAGCAAACTCTCAAAAGTCTTTAGATAGAAGCTACCACTAGATGGCCTTCTGCCACTAAAGATATTCAAGATTAAAAGTCTGACTCCTAAAGTGGTCTTCAAACAACTAAGAGGTGAGCCTCAAGTTAGCAGTTTATTAGGTTATTCACTTGGGTTTTTTCCTTTTTAGCAATCATTTATCATCTCCATGAATGAGATAACTAAAAAACACCCTAAATCTGCCTTTTCATGAGTCCTTTCAAAGGAATGCCTGATGCTATCAGCTATTATAAAGTGTCATATGGCAGTTTTGTCCTTTGTTTTTATTAACAACCAAGATGGCAGTTAAAAAAAAAAAAAAAGCAAAAACAAAAGCAAACAAACACTGCCCCCCCCACACACATATAAAAGCATACATGTAATTTCAGGTCACAGGAAGTGCTGTTAAATAAGATTTACTTTACTTTAAAAGTTTTGATATTTAAAAATATACATACAAAATACATGAAAACAGTTTCAATACTAAAATTCAAATTATATAACGAAAGCTGGAGTCACCTAGTATTTTCCCAACGTATTCTTCCAACACCTCAAACTTTTCTTCTTCAAAGATAGAAACTGTCAGTTTGGTGTATATCCTTTCAAATCTTTTAACATAGACTTCATTATAAATATATGTTCCTCAGGAATATTTTTATGTGGTTTTATGTAAGGGGGATATTTTGCCTTTTTTTTTTTTGTATCAAGGATCGAACTCAGGACCTTGCACTGGCAAGGCAGGCAGCAGAACCACTGAGCTAAATCCCTGGCCGTTTTGCCTTTTTAATGTAAATAAATGGTAGCATAGTTTAAATCATTACAAACTCGATCTTTCATCTTAACCAATCTTAGAGATTTTACTATGCTCCAAAATAATAAATCTTCTATTGTTCATATATCCTAAATACTATAGAATTCTAAAATGAATACATATAATTTATTTGTTGTCTGTTGATGGGCAACTTTTCAAACAGTGCTTTTTAACACCATCTCTGTACCTACATACCTCAGCACATATGAAAGTCACTGAATTGTATCAAGCTGTGATTATTTTAAAATGTGTTTTGCTTCTGAAGAAATAAAAATGACCCATAAACAAAAGGATCCCAGAATGACATACTGGAAAAACTGATTACAGAATTTTAAATTTTACCAAAGAGATTTCCCTTAAAGTATTTTTACTGTAGTTGGGGAGGAGGGGGAACCAATGCATACAAGTAAAGTATTTCACAAAAAAAAACATGGTAACTTGGTAATGAAGTCAAAAGAGAATGGAGGGCCTGGGATGTAGCTCAGTGGTTCCCGAGCAAAGTCCCTAGTTTGATCCCCAGTACCAAAAAAAAAAAAGAGAGAGAGAATGGAAACTTGTCTTCAATTTGGTTTTCCCCCTGCAGTACTGGAGATTGAACCACAGGCCCTTCCAACTGAGCTCCATCTCCAGCCCTTTTTATTTTTCATTTTGAGACAAGGTCTTGCTAAATCACTAAGTTGCCTGGACTGGGCTCGAACTTGCAATTCTCCTTCCCCAGCTTTCCAGAGTACTAGGATTATGCCATAAACTACCACACTCGGCTTCAACATACTTTTGTTTTTAATCTCTTCCGTAAGAAATCTCATCATGATTATATTTTCCTATTCTTATTTTGGATTAACTTTTTAAATCAAAGAAGCAAAAAGCAGCAAGGTATAAAAACAAAATATCCCAAAAAACATGGAATACATTCTACCAGGGATGGCTTTCTTTCCTGACTACTAGATAATGAGATTTTAGCACTTCATTGAAATGTGAAAAGTGCCTTGTTTGTTGTGGTAACTATCTTGCTGAATGAATTATAAATAGAACCTTGTTACCTGAATTTTAAAAAATGGGGACAAGGGGTAAATCCAATAAAGACTTTTGCTATTCATGTTGGGTTTCCTAGCTCTAACTCTAACACTCTGGTAATTCTTATAGATCATCTCAATTAAAAAGATATTCCACAAATACTGTAATTATTAAATTCTAATCCTTCACCAGCATTCATATGTTCCATAAATATCTGTTGTATAGTTTAGGAGTCAGACACTATTCTATCTACTAAGGATAAACAGGGCAAATTCCTGTGCATCTTGTATTCTAGCCAAGGTAACAGTCAAGAACCAAAGAAGTAATATGATTTCAGATCTTCAGTAGTATGGAGAAGAACTAAACAGCATAAGTAATAGAGGACTTATCATTTGATTAATTAATTCTTCAATATCTGCAATTTGAGGCAGGGGTCATACCTTAATATACTTTATATTCTTCTAGCACCCTTACACAATACACCGACAGCAAAACAAATGAATTCAACTGAATGGAGGCAAATGAAAGATTACCTTTTCCAATATGTCGTCTAGTGTTTTCAATTGTTGAATTACGATTAACATTTGACAACAATCCCAAGCAGAATCTACTTTTGTTATTTGAAGGGTCTGTGAATCCATCCACTAACACACTAGTAGATGATGCATGAAAAGCTTCCCCAACACGATTGTTTAATTCATAGTAGACAATTGAACACCAATGTTTGGGCTCTTCATAAGCAACAGGCTGAACGTCTATGAACAAACAACACAGAAAAAGTTTAATAAATGATTATCAGAAACTCCACATTCATTGTGTTTACTCTAACTCAACCAAAGCATTACATATAAAAATATTATTTCAATTAGGTCTCACTTTGAGTCTATATATGCAAAAAAACCCCATTAGAAATAAGCTTACCTGTGACAATTTAAATAATTATATAAATATAAAGATAGGCAACAACCTTAGCCTACTCATGCCGCTCTAACAAAACACCAAACTGAGTGGCTCAAACAATTTTTTTTCACCGTTCAAGGCCGGGAAGTTCAAGACCAACGTGTCAGCAGATCTGATGTCTAGTGAGGGCTCCCATCCTAGTTTATAAATAGACAGCTGTCCTATCACCACGTGCTCATAGGGTCTTTCCTCAGTGTGTGACCACAAAGATTCAAAGATCTGTCTGTCTCCTTTCTGTGATGGTTGAGTGATTATGTCAACTTGAGAAGTTTGGTTGAGAAGTTTAGCTAAATCAGGTCAGCAATTCCACACCCTAGAGCAGTATGTTGTTTGGATGTTATAAAGGGAAAATGAGAAAGGAAGGACACTGCTTGTTCCTTTGGAGGAGCTCTTGCCTTCACCTTGGACGTCATCTCCTGCCTTGTGGCACCCTCTTCGGCTCCCAGCACGGATCCTTCAGCCTTCCTTCCAGCATTGACTCTGCACCCTTCCACGGCAAACCTACTCACACGGGACACTGCAGTGAGCACCAGACCTTCAACTAAATCCTTCAGTCTCCAGTGTGCAGAGGGATCCTCTACACTCTTCCTGATCCAACTCTGTGGGTGGCCATTGTAAGCCAATCTTGTAAATTCTTATAAATTTGTATATCTTGTGTTATATCCGTTTCTCTAGTAAATACTGACTGATACATCTTCTGATAAGGGTAGCTAATTCCATCACGAGGCTCCCGCTCTCATGAACTCATCTAAACCTCAGCCACCTCTCCAAAGTTCCATTTCCACATAACCATCACTTTGCAGGTGAAGGCTTCAACATATGAACCAGGGTGGGTGATGAAAGGAGCACAATTTGATCCATTACCATTCAACCCTGCCCTCCCAATATCCATGCCCTTTTCAAAGGTAAAAAAAAAAAAAAAACATCCATCTCCAAAGCCCTCAGTCTTAACTCATTCCAGCAAAAACTATAAAGTCTAAAGTCCAGTCTTACCTAAATGAGAAAAAGATGAGACTGGAGACAAAATTCCAAAGCAAAACTCCTCTCCAGTGGTAACATGTGAAACCACACAAGTTATAAGCTGTAGAGAATTAGACCCTCAAGGCCCCATACATGCTTGCTCCCACAACTTCAGCCAACCTGCGGAAACTAGGACAGTGATCTGGATGATCTCCGAATCACTTCAGGGCCATTCCTCAGTTTTAAGGAATAGCACAAGTTTGCAGCTGAATAGCTAACTGCCTTGTCTATACAGAATCTAAGATGTCTGATAGCCTTCCTTAATTCTGACGTATCTCTGTCCCCTTCAAGTCACACTATCTGTGTCATGCTGAGGTGGCTAATCAGGTCTATGGGTCACATCCATACTAATCTCCCTATAAATATATTTTCTCATTTTTTGGAAATATGGATAGGATGAGAATTTTTCTAAATCTTTAAGTTCTGATTCCTTTTTGCTTAACAATTTCTCCTTCAATTCATTGCTCTCTTCCCACATGTATTTTACCACGAGAAGCTAGGAGGATCTAGGCCACTTCTTTAAAACTTTGCTCAGGAATCTCTTCAACTAAGTATCCAATTTCACAGCTTGAAATTCTACTTTCCACAAAACACTAGAACAGGAACACCAGTCAAGTTCCTTGCCACTATTTTAATAAAGATAGCCTTTTCTCCTTTTTCCAATAACAATGTTCTTTATATACATCTGCAGCCTCAAAAGAACCAACTTTAACATTTACATTTCTAATATTGTATGCAAAAATTATTTATATAGTCTCTTCAGAATCACCTTTCACTGTTACTTCACAGCAGTAACAGCTTTTTCTAGCTTGCACCTCAAAATTCTTCCAGCCTCTACTCAGTATCTAGCTCCAAAGCCACTTCCATATTTTTAGGTACAGTATGTGTTACAGCAGCATTCCCCTTCTAGATTCCAATTTCTGTCTCGGTTGGTTCAGGCGGCTATAACAAAATACCACAGGTTGTGTGGCTAAACAACAGAAGTTTATTTCTCACACTTCTAGATAAGTCCAAGATCAAGGCACCAGTGGTAGGTCAGCATTTGGTGAAGGCTTGCTTCCTGGCTTGTAGACAACCGCTCTCTGACTTTGTACTCACTGGCCTTTCCTTGGGTTGTATTCAATAGTATAGAAAAAGATACACAGAAAGGGATCTCTTCCTCTTCTTATAAGGGCGCTAATTGCACCCTGAAGACCCTATCCTCACAACCTCATCTAAACTTAATTACCTTCCCCAAATCTCATTTCCAAATAACACTAATAGTGAGGGTTAGGGCCTCAAAATAGGAACTTGGGGAAGACATAATTCAGAACGTAACAACAAATCATATTTTAAATTACATTTCTAGGATAATCTACTTTAGGCTTAAATTTGAGATATATACTTTTTCAGCCACTAGAAAGACATAACTATATCACCATCTTCTTAGCAAAAAGCTAAACTAAAAAACACTCTCTGCAAACTATGAATACAAGTATTTCACAGGAATCATCTTTGAGTTGCTACTGATCTTAGCAGCAAACCTTCTAATTTCTCACCATTACATATGATGTTATCTGTGGGTTTTCTGTAATTTCTGTTTGCCTTTTTTGTTTTTTGAGACAGGGTCTCACTATGTAGCTCAGCTGGCCTTGAACTCCTGGTGATTCTCCTGCCTCAGGCTTCCAAGGGATTACAGGCATTCTCTACCAGGCCCAGCTTCTGTAAATGTTTTTTTTATCACCACAAATACACAAAAAGCACACAAACATTGTTTTAAGAAATGTGTAGGGCCAGGGATTTAGCTCAGTGATTCTGGGCGCCTGCCTCAAAAGTGCAAGGTCCCAAGTTCGATCCCTGGTACAAAAAAAAAGAAAAAGAAAAAGAAATGTGTAAAATGGCAGACCTTACTTCTAAACTTGTTACAATGTAAGGAGCTTAAGTCTCAATGTAACTTTAAAGCCACAACACCACCATAAAAATATGCCAAACTCCACAATGAGGTACCACTTCATACCCATTAGAGTGATCATTATTCCAACCCCCCACCCCACCCCACCCCACCCCAAAAGGACCCCAGAAAATAAATGGCCTAGATGTAAAGAAACTGGAATCCTGGGGACCCCAATAATTTCCATAGCCTCGTGGGAAATACACTGCTAAAGATGTTATTGTGATATGTATACACTGGTCATGGTCTAAGTTTTCTGTGGGAAAACAAGGTTCTAATGATCTTTTTTGACTCAGGTATCTGCCTTTCTCTTGCACTCCAGCTACTTGTGATAAGAAGTACATATCGAGCCAGCATGAGAAAACCAGTCAAATAATAGTTTTCTTAAAAAATCATGTGATAGCTATGTTATGTGTCACCACACTTAGGGATGTTCAGTTGCCAAACAGTCGAAACAATGTCACACACTAAAATTTGAGGCTAGACATTAGGAATTCCTAAAGTACATTAATAGGCCAATATGCATGTTCCCTTTATATGGCATCCTACCAAAGAATAACAAATAAGAGTTTTCTGTATGTCATTTAATGTCTTGTGATCAGACAAAGGTGTTTGACTGAAAGACTATTCCGTACTAAGATGGACATGTAAGTGTTACAATAAAAATGTCATCATGACTGCCATGCTAAAATACTATGTGTGGCTCTCGATTCTAAAGTTTTTCCATATAATGTATAACTGTTGTCTGTTAACATTCTGCAAGGATTCAACTACTAAAATGACCATGGTTGAAAAAATATATTTCAAAAGTGCTTAATACCCAGATGAAATTACAATAGTTAAGCTCACTGCGCCTACTGAGATACTTATGTCACTGATCTTCTCTTCTAGGTGTTCAACAACTAAAGTTTGGAGTCCAAAACCAGACAGGTAACTGGGCTATGAGGATAGCCAACATTTTGGCCCTGGCCCCTCAAGGTCAACAAAGATCCAGGAAACAAAGGAACCTTTCCTACAGGATCCTACATCTTTGGTAAGTCACCCAACCTCCTGAGCAGGGAGATTGCTGGGCACCAGAGAACAAATGTACCATGTGCCAAAGGAGGGTCACCAAGAGGGAAAAATCTCCCACGGTTTCACTGAAAGCAACATGGTCAAGCAAGGCCATGACCCATCGTGACAGATGACACTGACAGGAGCTGAGAGGCTCTATGCATGGTTCCAAACCAATGCCTGAGGAGACTTAACTGACCTTGATAGAGAGCAAGAGGTTCACACCGATTGACAGGTCTCACTTTAACTTGGTCTTAAACAACCAGGAGAAAAGAATAACTAAAAGAGGTATAAAATACTGCTATAGTAATAAAGCTAGATATAAAAAGGGGCTCCAGTCACTGACCCCTTCTGGCAGTTTCTAGCTACACCAGTAGCTGACCATGGTTATGGACCATTAGGAAAAAACTATGGTAAAATCTGTAAGACCTCAGCTATAGTTTTAAATTTCTTAAGTGAGATTTGTTCTTCAAATTGTCTCTTCTTAAAGTATCAGACTTATACATAATCTTTATCAATGAAAGAATCTAAGAGCCAGTAGATTACAGTCACTATTTCAATATCTAAGTGTGACTTTCTCCACAACCTGCTCTTCCATTCTAGTGTGCTCATGCTTAGATTATACATGCTTTAATTTCTTAAAAGTTTTGTTTACTCTTGCCTAGAGGCTGCCAAACTCAAAACAGTCATACAAATGGAACCAATGACAAAGGTGCTAGACTTCTTTTACCGGGATCCACCAGATCAACCTTGTAAACAGCTCATAAGTGCTAAACTATACGACTTCTATGTTGGATTCTGAAGTCTCCTGGACCTTCTTACCCTCTTTGTGGGAGGCTATTACTAGTTCCTCCCAATGGAAACCTTTGTTGGCTATATTCAGAGCAGTCCTGATGACATTATTTAGCCCATGTATTCTTAACTGCTTCTTTGGCTTTTGTCCCCTCCAGACTTGAAGCTATAAGGCTACCCAAGATGACAATGCCTGGTGCCTATTGAAGGCCTTCAGACAGACCTCTATAGAGTAACTCTGACTGCTGATTACAACTTCAACCCTCTTCAGTTGGAAGTAGCCAGACTGGTCTTCGCCCTTTGCCCCCTCACAGCAGTTAGGAGTACTTCAGAGGGGGGAATATTGCAGATAGGTAAGTTAATTAGATATCTTGTAGGCAGTTAGATAGGGCCAGCCCACAAGGAGCCAACATGGAGGACAGTGAAGACACATTCACTGAAGGCCTGCATTGTAAAAGGAGAGAAACTACCACGCCCATGTAGGATGAATAGCAGTGATCATATTCTAAACAGGTATCAATCACCTGGGTGGGGGGGCCAAGGTCTTAACCCAGCCTTTCCAGGAAATATCCCAGACACACCCTTACTGAAAATCCTAGTACACTTGCTATGTGACTTGCTCCCCCATTTGACCTGCATTTAATCAATATTACCTGGGTGACTGTGCTTGTAATCTTATTGGTTGGTCATGGTTTTGCCCCACCTCATGCCCACCTTGTAAATTTCCATTGGGTCTTCCAGTTTTGTCCCACTTTGTACCTGCCTCACCACATGGCTTTGCTGTATAAAACATCTTTGAAAAGTGGGGTGAGCGGGCAACCCACTTTCTGGTCCTCCTTCTGTCTCTATTAGGCAGAAGCTTTCTTTCTCCCAATAAATTTTTCCTACTCTTAAAAAAAAAGGAAAAGAAACTGGAATCCTTATGCACTGATGGTAAGAATGTAAAATGATGCAACTGCATCATTGCAAATACTGTCAAAAAGTCAAACAAATAATTAGCATATGACATCAATTCTAGTCCTAAGTATATAATGCTCAAATGCACTGCAAGCAGAAGCTCAAACAGACATGGTATCACTGAAAGTTACAATAGCCAAAAAGGCTAAACCTAAATGTCTCTCAATACACAAATGGATAAACAAAATGTGCATACATATACAACAGAGTATTATTCAGCCTTAAATAATGAAATTCCAATACTACTGTAATGTGGGTAATCCTTGAAACCACCATGCTAAATGAAATAAGCCAGACACCAAAGGAAATACAAGTATTATAATTGCATTTAGAAGAGATACCTAGAATAGGCAAATTTATAGAGATAAAATGTTGAATAATATTTTTCAGGGGCTAGAGGAAAAGGAATGGGGAGTTTTATAATGGGTTAAGTTCTGCATAGGATGATAAAAAAGTTCTGGGAATGGATCCATAATATGTAGACATACCTAATGCTAATGAACTGTATACTTTACTATCATAGTTCCAAAATACATAAAGCAAATAAACAGAATTGGTAATAGAAATGTACAACTCAACAGTAACAGTTGGGGACTTCAATCTCCCATTGTCAGTAATTGATAGAATAATAAGAAAGAAAGCAAGGTGGGAAAAAAAAAAAACCAAGGTGGGATATAGAAAACTTGAACTATACTTTCAACCAGTTAGATCTAAATCAAAATGCACAGAACCAATGATAACCCTACAACAGCAGAACTAAAGAGTCTCAATATACACCTATGTTCATAGTAGCATTATTCACAGTAGCCAGCAAGTTCAGTGTTTCAAAAAGTTAAGCACATAATTAGCATATGACACAGCAATTCTACTCCCAAGTATACAATACTCAAATAAACTGTAAGCAGAGACCCAAGCAAATAATAGCACAATGAGAAAACAAATGGTGCTGGAACTAACTGGATTTCTTCATGCAAAAAATTTAATATAGATATTTACCATATACCACATACAAACTCAACTCCAAATGAATCTAAGGCCTTATATAAAGATTAAAACTATAGAACATCTAGAAGAAAACATCAAAAAATATTTGCATGACCTTGGGACAAATAAAACTTTCTTAGATTCAATACCAAAATCATGATACAGAAAATAGAATTGATAAACTGAACTTCATCAAAATTTAAAGCTATGGTGGGGCCGGGGATTTACCTCAGTGGCACCCTACCTGCCTGGCAAGTGCAAGGTCCTGAGTTCAATTTCTGGTATGAAAAAAAAGATTTTTAAGCTATTGTGATTCAAAAGACATTATTTTTAAAACTGAGAAAAAATATTTACAAATATTTTATAGTATATAAATTATACTTCACAAAAGTGGTTTTTTTCACAAAAGGTTTTTTAAAAGTGGCCAAGATTCAGGATGTAGATCAACGCTAGAATGTCTGCCTCGCATGTAGGAGGCCCTAGGATGAATCCTCAGTAGGGCAAAAAGAAAACTCAAATAAGTAAAAGTGGCCAAGAGGTTAAAAAATAATACAAATAGCAACAACAAAATAAATATAATGATTACTTCTCTTACCTCTGCTGGATATACTGGGCATAATCTGAGGAATCATATTATTGCTCGTATCCATAGGCTGGGAATTATCTTGACCCATCTGATCATCAGGTGGCATATAGGCAGGAGGAGGCGTATCAGCTAAGAGAAATAAAATGAGACAAGTCCAAAAAGAACAGTAGAAATCTTCATCCTGCCCAGTTATTAGTCTAAAAACATTTTTAAAAAACAAGATAACCAGCAGGGTTCATTACTAATTACATACACACAAATGTAGGACCCTATCCTAGGACAGAAAAGTCAGCATACTGAATAGCGAATAGCAAATGAAAACCTACTACAAGGCCACGTTTATTCAGTCCAGATCTCTGGTAATCCAGGACTAGTACTAAAATCCACTGAAAAAGAATTCAAAATCAGTAATTTTGTCTTTATTTGCATAGAATCACATGCTCAGAGAAACTGGTACTATGCAAAACAATCTGAAGGACATAGACTATCCTAGTTTGTATATATACATACTATAGACATTTTAAATTGATCATCACATACAGTATACTGTCATATAAAACTATTCCCTTTAAAATTTGCCATCAACACTAACAGCAACTGTCTAATACTTTTGCCATGTCCATAAATGGCTGCTGTTTCTCATTAAATGGCTAGGTAATGAGCTTAGCAAACTGAATGTTAAACATGGAATCTGTTAAGTACCAACACTCATAGTTGAAATATTTTTTTTTGCAAAAGCAACAGCTAAACTTTTGTCTTAGTAACGGTAAAACAATACAAATTGTCTTTCACACCAAGGTTTGTACAAAATGTATTTTGAGAAACAGCTACAACTAGCACAGAAACTAAGACAAAATAATGAAAATTTGCTTTTGAGAAAATTCCTAATAGTAGGTTAAACAGTATTAATTCCCTTGCTTCCAGATTTTAAACAAATATTACTTGACACAATGAAATCCAACTTCATCTCAAAATCAAAGAATTACATAAAAAATGTACAGTCAGAAACAAGTAGCTCTTGTTGTATAACAGTTTACCCAGAGGGTCAATAGTAAGAATAACTACTGATTCTCAGGGATTATTTCTTTTGTTTTTTGTATCAATAAAGTCTTACCTGGGAGTTGAAAAGGACTTCCTGGTCCAGAACTTGCTGGGGAGTTGGGGTACGTACTGCTAGCAGGGGAAGGGGGGTAGGGGCTGTTTGGAGATAAGGGAAAGGGAGTGTTGTTGGGTTGGTGGAAAGAATCTGGAAATGTGGCATTTTGTGGCATGTGCGGTTCATTGTGGCTCAGGTTCCTAAACTGAACCAGAAGGCTGTGTTGTGGGTTGAATTCATTATGTCGAGGCACTAATACTGGAGGTAAGACTGAAAGACAAAAATCAAAAGTAACTGGTCAGGAATGACTAAAAAACATGCCCCATTCAACCATTAAGGGATTAGTAGAAAGGATTCATGTAAGACTAAACCTATTAAAACAGTTCACTTTTAGGAAGGGCTGTTTTACAGAAACCTGAATCTATATTTACATAAAAACTAAACCCAAAATTCTTGTCAATGTTTAGCCTATATATAAAGGACTCTGAAAGACAGAAAATCCAGAAAAGATATCACTTCAGTTTTTATGGGACATATGACATATTTAACAACAACCATAATACAATGAAAGTTTAAAAAGTGAGCACTCCCAGCTAGCAGGGAATAAAAAAAATATTGTGGAAAAGATACATCCAATTGGACCTTAACAAACCAGGAGAATTTCACAAGAGAGTGTTAGGGGTGAGTATAGGAGAAAGAAGGGAAAGAAAAGTCATTTGGCCTAGGCACAGATCTAGGTAGTAAGACTACAGAGTTGAGGTCAGGTATGTGGATGCCCTGAAAACTTTCACATTTCCAATTTTGAACACTTTCATCATTCTCACTTTGAGAGATCACAAACTTTAAATTCTTCAGTAAGGCTTTCCCTACTGAAAATAGTAACATTCCCGAGGTAAAAGTCCTCCATTCAAAAGCAGTCTTCTCCATATTATGATAATAAAAATACAGTAATGCCTCGGATCAAACACTTCTGTTTGTAAGCAATTCGGTTCACAAACAAAAGCATTCAGCAAACTTTTGCTTCCTGAAACTCCACATCAGGTGACAAAAATGAGCACAGCCATCTTCCCCACAGAAACACAAATGCAGCCATCTTCCCCTAAATTGTAAAACAAATTAAGTTCATCAACCAAGGTACCACTGTACATACAATAATGTCTACACATTTGAAGAAATTTTTTTTAAAAGATAAAAGTTAATCTTATTCCAATGTTCACTTTATCTGAAGATCCATGATCAACATTTAAACATCTAACACTGAAACATCTGATTACTTTTCCCTATAGGAAACTGATACTGTTAATATACAATTCATCTCTTACAACTTTCCTGTATATGTCAATGTCATTTTGACTCTGGGAGGCTGAGGCAGGAGGATCACAAGTTCAAGCCCATCTGGGCAACTTAGTGAAACCATGTTTCAAAGTAAAACATGAAAAAAAGGGCTGGGGCTGTAGATCAGTGTAAAGGTCTTGGGTTCAATCCCCAGTACTGCGAATGAATGAATGTTTTTCAAAACTTTCATTCTGTTATCATTTAGCAGCAACAAAATCAATTTGTTTTTGAGTTAACTAAATCATACTCTGGTTCTCTATAGTAGGGAGATTGTACACAACAAACCAAAGGCTCTTCAGTCAGTATTTGTACTGTTTCATTTTTTACAGAATCAGTGTTGCACAAATATGATCAACAATGACTACAACTGTTTTTGTTATATTGTGTATTAACAACTGCTGTTTCCCTGAATGATTATGGGGCAGCTGCCATTGGAGATCACGGTTTTAGACAAGAATTTCTGTTTAGCTAGCTAGTAATCTGAAAGACTTAAGGAAATAACTAGAATTCAGTTCAGTAAAGCTTTCTTTCTTTGTTAAAGATATAGTTAACATCACTGGCTTCCTTCCTGCTTATGTATTATCTGTGCACATGATTTTTAAGAATTATTTTCATCCAAAATAGTATGTTGAGTTTAAAAGATTATAAGCATACAAAAAAGATGAGATTATAACAAAAACAGCAATTTCTAGGCCCCTCTCAGATCATATCCATAAACAACAAATTTAAATTCATAGCCATTTCTTCTAACATTTACTTTGTACACTGCTAAATAATATTTTTATTGTTATTATTAATTTGTGAATTATTTAGACTTGGTCTTACAGAAAATGGGGCAGCTATCTTATATTATCCTTCTTTTCCCTACAGTAAATTTACATTAAAAAACTGGATTAAATTGGTATCTAATGTTTACATTACATATGTGTATGTGTGGCTAAATGTATTTATGTAATTCATTAATAAGCAAATGTGCTGATATTTTCCCTGAATAGTGCTTTTATTAAAGTTAATATTCCTTCACTTGCTTAGTTTTATGTACTACTACTATTTCCAGTATTCCAACAGATCTGTCAAATGACACTCAAGACCATCTTCCAGATGCTGTAAATTATCAAATAATTTGTGATTTCCTGTTTCCTCCTGGATCTTCCACCCTTTTGCTCCAGCCAAAACTAGTTGCTACTTAAGTCTCCTACAAACCTAAAGTCCTTGGACCTCCTCTCTTCCTCTCTCTGCAATCATTATACATCCCATTTCATAAGCCTCGCCCTCTATTAGCTTCCTAAGAAAGGGGAAGAAAAACAATGTATATAAAAATATCTTTTTTTTGCTTGTTTGCAAGCAGAATTTCTATTTCACTTTCTTCTAGAATCCATAATTGCAGTGAAAAATCCAATATTCTGATTTCGAGTATTTTATGTGTCCTATATTTGCTTTCTTTCTTTTTTTTTTTTTTTGGTACCGGAGATCGAACTCGGGTCCTTGCGCTTGTGAGGCAGGCAATGGAACCACTAGGCTAAATCCCTGGCCCAAGGAATAAGTCCTTCTAAGTATTTTTTTTTTTTTTTTGGTACCGGGGATCGAACTCAGGTCCTTCTGCTTTCAAGGCAGGCGGCGGAACCACTGAGCTAAATCCCCGGCCCCTATATTTGCTTTCTGGAAGCTTTCAGAATCTGACTTCTTTTTATCCATGATATACTAAAATTTCATGTGTTGGTCTTTTGTCAATCCCAGTTCTGACTACTTGGTCAGTAGGCCCTTTCAATTCACATATCTAGAAATTATTCTAGTAGTATTTCTTTTTTGTTTTCTTTTGTTTTTTTGAGACAAGAGTCTCACTGGGTAGTTCAGGCTAGCCTTAAACTCATGGTGATCCACCTGCCTTATCCTCCGGAGTATTGGGATTACAGGCATGCACCACTATGCCCAGCTCTAGTAGTATTTCTTTGAAGATTTTTCTCTCTACCATTCCCCGCTATGCTCTATTTCCAGAATGTATTATCCTAGTAGTTAATTTGTAATTGTTTCTAAACCACATAATGCTTAAGCACTTTTTCATGCATTGCCTCATCCAATCCTCATAACAACCCTGTCAGGTGGGTAGTATTATTCTCATACTAAATCATAAAAATTGTAAGTAACTTAGTAGTATACACTAAAACCTGGATTCAAATTCAGGAAGTCTTGCCAGGCGTGGTGGCATACGCCAGTCATCTCAGCACTTGGGAGGCTGAGGCAGGATTGCCATGAGGTCGACTTACTCCTAGCAAATAACTAGCTTGAGAGTTTTTCAGGAATTTGTCTATTAAATCTTCCCATCTTCCATTCCTCATCAAGTCCTTCAGGATGCAGCTTTCCTTTAAGAAATAAAAAATCACCTCAAATATCATCTAGCTTTAACTAAAGCTCTTATTAAGTTCCCTTAGAGTACAATCACTGCTATTCTTTTTTGCCAGTTTTCACACTCAATATTCCTTTCAGTCTTTTTATCACACTGGGCTCATATTATCTTGAGTGTGGCACACAGACTCTAAGGTGGCCTTATGATTACAACCTCTAGGTATTCATGTCCTTGGTTAATCTCTTGCCCTTGAGTGTATGACCTGTGACTTGCTTCTAACAGTACATGGCAAAGTGAGAAGATATATGTGATTACATTCCATATGAGTGCCATTCTTGTTAGAAGACTCTCTTCCTTGCAGGCTTTGAAGAAGCTGCCATGAATGTGAACTACGTATAAAGAAGGCAACGTGGTAACCAATTTAATGTAGTCTCCAGCTGATAATCACCAAGAGTCTAACAGCCTACAGGAAACTAAATTCTGTTAACTATCAAAGTGAGCCCTGGAAGCAGATCCTCCTGCATCTGATAAGACCCTAGCTCTGACCAACATCTAGATTAGAAGCTTGCAAAAAGTCCTACTAAGCTGTGATGAATGCCTTACCCAAAGAAATTGTGAAGTAATAAATATGTATGTCAAGCTACTGCATTTGTGGTAATTTGTTGTGCAGCTGCTATACTTAGAAGATGTCCCCCAAAGTTCATATTGGAAAATTATTCCCTAATGCAACATTATTGAAGGTAGGGCCTACTGAAAGAGTAGATTACTCATCATGAGAATGGGTTTGTTGTAAGTTTGGCCCCTTCTTGTCCCCTCTCTGTCTTACACTTACTGGCCACATGCCACATTATGATGCAGTCAGAAGATCCTCACCAGATGCAGCCTCTCTATCTTGCACTTTCTAACTCCAGAACCATGAGCCAAGTAAACACCAATCATTTATAATTTACTTGGTCTGGTACTCTGTTAGAGCAGCAGTGAATAAACTAAGGTATCAGCTTATGGAATTCATTCATTACCAAAAAATATTTACTGAGCATTACCTACCAAGTGCCAGGAAACTTCATTAGTTATTACACTGGGGATGTAATAATAAGTGAGACTGAGGAAGGCCCTGCTCCAGTCAGTCAATAAACTAAATATCTAATGTAGAATCAACTAGTGATGAGGATATTTGAACAAAGAATGGAGTAAGTACATGTGTCGAGAAAAGATTTTGGGGAAACAGCAAGACTTAAAATATACACAGGAGTATGGCAAGTTCAAGGGTCAAAGGATGTCTAGGGATAGGTGTAGTCTTGAAACTACCTATCCTAAGTTTAATTTTAAGAATTCTGTTTAAGAATTCTGATTCCTAGTATAGTAAAGCTAAATGTTTTTAGTAGGAACTGACATATTTGATATATGTCATTTTAAATTTCACTCTATCTGCTGTGTAGAAAACACAATGGGTTGGGAGAAAAAGAAGCAGAGAGACCAATTAGGAGACTACTTAAGGTGAGAAATTGTAGCAGTCTGTACTACTGATAAGAGGTGACGGTATCAAGACATATTTTAAAGGTACAAGGGGCTGGGAATTTAGCTCAGTGGTTTCGCCCCTTGTCTCGCAAGCACAAGGACCAGAGTTCGATCCCCAGTACCAAAAATAAAGAAATAAATAAAGGTACAGCAAGCAACATTTCTTCATAGCTCAAATATAGGACTTAAAAATAATAAAAGATGGCCTCTGTTTAGGCAATACTTACATGAATACTAGTGCCATGTACTTCAATAGAGAAAACAGGAGAAAATGTTTTTTGGGGGAGGGGAGTTAAAAGTAGCCATATTGTATCTGATGTTTATGAGACATTCAATTGAGCTAGTAAGTAACTGACTTTTACAAATCTAAAACTCAAGGAAGATGATTCTAGAATTCAAATTATGTGCATCAGGTTATAGCTAATTTTAAAACATATGAGACATTTAAAGAACACATACAAAAAAGGCCCAAGGACTGAGCACGGTGAAACAGGAGGACAAGACAGCAAACACTCTGAACAAGAATAACCAGTAAAGTTGGACAATCAGAAAAGGAGTGTCTTAAAAGTCAAAAAGAGAAAATTATTACTAGGAGGGCAGGAGATGAACTGTTCTCAAGTGCTACTGAGAGGGCAAATAGGATAAGACTGAGAAATGACCATTTGATTTCTAAGAGGGAAGTCACTAGTGATCTTGACACGTGAAATGGTAGGGAAGAAAGAATAATTGAAAAGATAAGAAAGAATGGGAAACACAGATGTGGAAATAATAAAAGAATACTATAAAATGACCAGAAGAAACAGTGTGGGAAATGAGATGTGTGTGTGCATGCAGATATGTGAATGAAATAAGACAAGAATTCTTTTTAACTTTTATTTTAGGATATGCAATATCATGACATGCTTGTATGCTGTCAGAAATGGTCTGGTAAAGTGGGAAAATACAATACAAGGGAGAGGGATGCTATTGCATGAACAAAGATCTTGAACAGACCAAAAGGAATAGGATCCAGTGTACACACTGGGCTTAATTCTTAGATAAAATAGAGACAGATCATCCACAGGAAAGGTAGAACACATATACGGGTCCTTACTATGCACAATGAATTAGGACAAGTCACTTGAGAGTAATATCACCTACATAAAAAAGAAAGCTAAATTCCAATCCAATACTCCTTCCAAAATTAAAGCTTTAAAAAATGAACACAAGTTAACATACCTTGTAATTAATAAATCTAATTATATATGAATCAGACAACACAACATTTAAAAGAATTCTTCTCAAGAGAGTAAAACCTACCTGGACTCTCCACTCTCTTGTAGTGGTATGGGTTGATACAAACTTCTTTTTGTTTAGATCCAAAAGGAAATTCACAAATATCCAATGGCTTTAGCTCATGATGACTCTGCAAATCAGGCCAGCGCCAAACACGACAATATATGACATGTGGTAAGCCTTTTCTGTGAGAAACCTGGAGACGTCCGTCTAAAGATCTGGGAATAGTGACACATTTGCTCGGCTGTCCTGGACTGCTCAAGGCTTTCTCCAGTTCCTCCATGGCACCCTTTTTCTTTTTTAGCTTTTTTACCAAAGCATCGACTGCCTTTTCTGCCCATTTTTCCTCCTCATCACCTTGTTTCCAGCCCAATAATCGTTTCACTGCTGGACTAGTAAAAGAAAACAAGCTGGCCATTGACGTCATTTGATACAAATCTTCAGAGACCTTCCTGTAATCAAAGTCAGTAGTAACTAGAAGAACAGATCAAGGTGAAAAGTCACATACAGGTCCTAAGCAGGAGTTCCAATTACAGAAGGAGCAATAACATTTATCTTCACAAGCGCCATATGCTTCTTTCATTGGTTCAAGTTCTACAAGAGAAAGGGAGAAAGGATCCTAAATTAAACCAACTCAATTACATCCAGTTAAATCAACGTACTTAAAAAGTATGTTGCCTGTAAACAAGAGCAGTAAAGCATTACAAAGCAAAACAAAACAAAACAAAAGCCTAGAAAAAGAAATTTCTCTAAAAATTCTGTGACCTTTTACTTCCTCCTTGATAGTTCAAACAAAAATTTACTGTCAATGCCAAACAACAACCAAAATCAGGCTCCAGACTTTATTTCCTTTGATGAGGCCACTAAGCCCAGTCTTGTGAGATTTGCTTCTGAAGTATTACTTTCCTTCACTGAAATACATGTTAGAAAGTAGGTCAATTCTGAACATATGTCTTGATCTAATCAAAAGCCCTAAGAGAAATCTAGCTCTTCCCTAAAGTCATTGTTCTTTTTAAAATGTTTAGTATACACAGCAAAGAAAACCACTAACACAGCGAAGAGACAAACTACAGAATGGGAAGTTTTTTGCCAGCTCTTCCTCATACAAAAGACTAATATCTATAATATATAAAGAACTCAAGGAAATTAGACCCCCTCCAAATTTAAAGACCTAATTGAAAAATGGGCATCTGAGCCAGGTGTGGCTGCACACACCTGTAATCCCAGCACTCAGGAGGCTGAGGCAAGAAGATGCTGAGAGCTACATAGTAAATTCAAGGGCAGCCTGAACTATGTAGTTAAGACTCTGTCTCAGAAAAGCAAACAAAAAAAGGCACCTGAAATGAATAGATACTTCTCAGATGAATACATACAAAGAGCCAATAAATACATGAAAAAAATGTTCAATATCACTGGCCATTCGAGAAATGCAAAAAACAACACTAGGATTCCATCTCACTGCAGAAAGAATCAATAACAAATGCTGAAAAGGCTGTAGGAAGAAAGGAACCCCTCTTCATTGCTGATGAGACTGTAAACTGATAGAACCACTACGGAAATCAGTATAGAGGTTCCTCAAAAAAGTAGAAATTCCTTTTGACCCAGCTATCCCCTTTGTACATATCTTCCCCAAAGAGTTAAAGACATCATACTACACTGATGTATGCACACCCATGTTTACACCAGCACAATTCATAATAGCTAAATCTCGGAAACAGTCTATATGTCCATCAACAGATGATTGGAGTAAAAATGTGTTATTTATATACAATGGAGTACTACTCTACCATAAAAAATGATAAACGAGTCATTTGTAGGAAAATGGTTGAACTTTAAGACCATAGGCAAGTGAAGTAACTCAGGCACACGGGCTTAAATATCACATGGTTTCTCTTATATGAAAAACTCAATATATATATATATATATATATATATATATATATATATAAATATATAAATAAAAAACATAATAAGAAAGAAAAGAAAGAAAAAAAGGTACTGTAATCCACTGTGGACAATGTATTTAAAAATGTACCTTGACCTAATACAATTGTCTTACGTGTTTTACATATTATTTGGCCTATTAGTCTGGTTTTCAATCTGTATATATAATTACCTTTATAAAATAAATAAATGAATCTGATACTGGAAAAATGAAAGAGGGTGGGGGGCAAATAAATTAAAATGTGTTATGTACATGTACCAATTCCCTACAGTGAATGTAAACATTATGGACTGCAAACATACTAATAAAAGTTGAAGGCTGGGGATTTAACTCAGTGGTTCCACCACCTGCCTTGCAAGCGCAAGGTCCTGAGTTCAATCCCCGGGACAAAAAAAAAAAAGTTGAAAGGAGGGAGGCCGGGGAGGGAGGGAGGAAAAAAAGATAGAGGAGGAAGGGAAGCACAAAAGGAAAAAAATGAAATGTTTAGCAGACTTACAAGACAAAAGCCCTGATACTATTCAAGTCACATTATTAGATACAAATTATATTAAAAGTTGTCATAAGATGTAACAAACTCTCAAATAAATCATACCACATATAACTGCCAGAAAAGTGGCAAGCATCTATTTCTAGGAATAAATCTTTTTGAATACAAGTAAGTTTAAAGAGAATACTCAATTTAACCCAAAAGTCAGTTTACATTTTTTTCCTTAACTTTATTAATCATTCACTAAACACATACATATACAAAAATTAAAATTATTCAAAGAAAAGCAATGGAAGGGACAAAAACTATAATAACATTCAAATAGAACCCAACCAAAGGAAAACTGAAAAGTACTTAAACATTTCTATATAATTAAAAAAAAAATCTCAAGCATTAACAAGACATCATAAGATGTGATTTGTTTTAGAAAGATTTTCAAAACTAATATTAAACAAATAGTGGTCTGGAGAAAAAATCCTAATTAACTAGTAGACTCTACATAGGCCAAATTTTTTTTAATTTAAATTTCAATACAGTCATGTGATACGTGATGGAAATAAAATCTGAGAAATACGTTATTAGGCAATTTCATCCATGTTTATCACGAAGCACCACACAGAGTGCCAACTTCTAAGTGCAAACTGAAAAGGTATACTTCAATCATCTGTGATGGTCCTTTGATATTATCCAAATACGCAGTTAAACACGAGACACATGAAGCTATCACTGGCATAGCAGCACACTGTTTTACAGTAAACTCTTTTATATAAGTAGGATTATGCTGTAAAGAATGAAAAGCACAGCATGTTATGATAGGTATCTAAAACAGTAACAGTCATTGATCACACTATCGAGTATTGTGTACTGAACACAGTTGTATGTGCTTCTTCTGGAAACATACCTTCCTCTCCTTTGACCCCAGTGACTCTTCCTTCCCAACCCACTGATGTGCTCCAGCTTAGTCTCTATCTACATCTCTTCCTATAGTTTTTAAACACAATCTATATATGGATTCTTTCCAGATTCCAGCCTGTATCCTGATCTCTCCCCTTCCCCTCCTGCTACCCCTACCCCTTTGAACCTTTTCTTTGAATTTCAAATTATCAATTATTCATTTTAATCATTTTAATCCTTAATTACACTTTCAGTTTCTCACA